GCTGGCATCGGAGCGGCATAAAAAATATGGCTCACGCATTGCATTTGCCGGGGACAAAGGAATGATTGGGAAGCGATGCATCAGAAGAAAATGGCCTAGAAGTGCTATGCGAATCTTATTAAAATTGGAAAGGGTGGTGTTCCCTATATGGTATTCGGTTAAGAGATAAATTCTACAAGAAATACAGATTTCCGTATACTTTACTGAGTAGTGATAGCTTAATTATCGAAGAGTAATAGATGTGAATTGCGAAAGTTGAGGCTTAATTCTTCCATATAAACATAAAAAAGATTATATCTAGAGCTAACTTATAGTAGTCCCCGTTTATCACTCTTGATTGGATTTTAATTAATGAATTAGGAGTCAAAGATTTAATATATTACCTTAACCAAAGCCAGAATTAATTCTAAGACCAAATACACCCCTTATGGTCAGAAAATACATTTAAATCGACTTTAGTGGTGAAGCTTTTGCTTGTTAGTTTTTACGTGCCACATTTTAAATCCAGCAGCGTGCAAGGCTGAGATCTTAACGGGATCCAAAGCCTAATTTTACGGGGATAAATAAGGCTTTTGAGATAGAAAGAAGAAGAAGAAAACAACTGTATGATACCTTCTCTAAAGCAAAATAAGGTCTTCTTCGCACATTTTTCAGGGTATTTCAATTATTGTTGATGCATAAATAATTGTTGCCAAGTTCTAAATATTTTTTTATGTAGGTAGAAATGCATATTCCCCTCTCATCTAAAGAGTCATCGCTGTCCATGCTTTCATTTAATGAGTGACTTACATAAAATATTTACTCTATTGTCCACATTAGGATCTTAGAAGTGCGTTTTCATCAAAGGCCTATTTCTACAGACAAGTAAATTAAATTTTAGAGTGACTCGGCAGCCAACTCACCTGCTTGCATAGAAGGCTTTTTCAAGCCATTAAAAAAGACAAGAGCCATAGTTGCTTCATAACTTGGTAGAGCCGCATTCACAGGAGCTGATTGTGATGCAACATCTATTATTAGTAACCCTCTTGGAGACATGAAATACAGTATATCTGCAGACGCAGTCAAAGCCACGTCACCTAAATCCCCTGTATCTGAACCTACAAATTCTCCTCCCCATGCACGCTCTCTCATTCCTCTAATCCTGCTAAAGCCTCTTCATCCACCAGCCCAAACACCGCCTCTCTTCCAACTCTGGTATCCAGTGTCTCAGCCTTTATTTTTTCGCAATGGAGAAACAAAAAAGATGCAGGACCGCTTCTGTCACGTCGACCGCCTACTGTCCAACGACCATAGAACAGATTCGACATCATCCGACGCCGACCACTCGTTGCTATGACGCTAGGAAAAGTCCTCCGGTTAAATAATATTTCCGCTGGTGTTGAGGGTTCATCAGAATAGGGTTCGCCTCTCAAGGCAATCCCCATAAGGTTTGTAATCGAGGTCTGATATCTCATGAACCGTTAAGAGGAATTTCCTCGCGACAGCAAAAAGCGTGACATAGCGGATCGTGACAAATAGGGATATCTCGAGTGTTTACCAAAAACAAATTTGTAGGCTGGCGCTAGAGTATCCGCCAACCTAAGAAAGATAACAAAAACTAAATTTAAAGGTTAATTTAATAAAAATAAATAAATAAATTATTGGCAAATTATGCGGATCACAATAACCAGTAGGTCAATGTATTTAATGTCAGAAAAAATTAAAAGCAAACTAAGATGCAGAGTCTAACCAAGTTTAGGTGCCTAGTCCCAGGATAAGATGTACTTATTGTGTATCAAATTAATTGAATTAAATTGAAATATCACTTATAATTTAATAATAACCAATTTAAGGTCAATCGTATCACTTACTGATATGGTTATTCCTAAAAAGTTTCGACTACAAACATTCTAAGACCAGTGATCAGATATTGTATATTTTAGTTTAAAACTCTGAACCTATACATTTATTCGAAGATATAAGACCAAAATGGTGTGGCCTTTTGTGCAGTCGCATTCTCCTTTCCTTTTATAGAAGTTGTTTGACCTTGTTTTCGCAACTTTGTCATAATGTTAGGAAGACTTATAGAAACGCACCTTGTCCTGAGTTCATTGTATGCATGATCATTTCCAAAGTCGAACCGTAGAAGTGATACATTCCCAGAAGTTAAGCCAAAATCGTAGTCGGCAACGTCAGTGAGTTTTATCATTCGTAGCACTATATTACAACTCGTCAAAGAGACAAGCAAAGCTGATCCCTTGACTAAACGTGCGCTAAACAGTAATGGTATCTCCAATTCTGCCCTGGCCTATTTATATATCCTATATCCTCCAATCATGCCTTCCCTGTAACAAAATTTTACTTGGAGAACAAGGTTATGGACAATTAAATGTCAACAGGAGGGCTACTCATATTATTGAGATAAAATTCAACCACCAACCTTTGATCAGATTGTAAAAAATAGAGTGAATACAACTCTTATAATGCTAAGAATTCATGAATTCCTTCTAGCCAACTTTTGCCTTAAAATTGATAGTCTTCACAATATTCAGTAACGCCGAGTCTGAGTGCCTGGTAAAGTATAATGAATTTCAATTAAAAATAATTAATTGAAGATATTAAGATCAAGATGTTGTCGCATCTTGTATGGTCGCACTCTCCTTTCAATGTATAGATGTGGGTTGACCTCGTTGTAGCAAATAGGTCTAATTGTCAGGGCAACATCATACAACGCACCTTGTACGAAGTCGTCTGCCATAGTAGTTTTCATGATTCTCACCATTACAAAGTGGAATTTATACATTATTACACCATTCCACCCCTATTGCTAACAACCTCGCTGAAAATCCTGGAATCACAACGGATCGTAGAGAGTCGTTAAAAACAATAATCAAGTTGAAAATAAGGAATACCTAGTTTACATTTAACGAGATCATCTATAAATAAATATTTAGACAACATTGGAGGCCTAACAGTCGGGAAGCTGGTCAGACGTAAACACAAATCGTCAATTAAATTTGGCGTTATGGCCAAAATGTACTATAAATTTACTTTAGATGCAGCATTCTACCAGAGATAGGCGTCCACAGTATGCTTAGATAACATGAATTAAATCAAGAAGAGGTTCCAAGAAGGAAAAGCCTGTTATCTACCTGCATGGCAATTAGAGCTGAAGCACCCTGCTCAGTAAAGCGGTAGTGTATGTGCTTTAAAGGCCTTGAGAAATAGGGCCTGGAGTAAAATTCACGCAGGGACTAGAACTGGATGAAATTGGTCAACCGGGAAGAAAAGGAACGCATTCAGACAAAAATGATGGGATCCGGATTGGAGGTCAGAGTCGGATCAACTGACCTAAAGAAATAGGTCGTAGTGAAAAGCAAGTGTTTTAAGGCCACATTAGATTTGCCAAAAATATGCACACATTTTGACGAGTAGAATGTAAACAAATATGAAGTTGTAACAGCGCGGAAGTGATATAAGAGGGTAAATAGTAGATAGATAGGCATTTACGGAAAGAAGAGTGATAGTGTAACCCTTTACGGCAAAACGTTTGTCAAAGGATTGACTTCACTTGTCTCTTTGACAAGGTTGTAGCTTGGTTAGGAGGATGGTAGGACTCACCAATGATGCCAATTTTGATGCCGGCGAAACGTTTAAGCAAGTACCAAGTCCATTGTATGATGCTGGGAATAATGAAAATTACTATGACAGACGACGGTGGACAAACTGCATTCTACTAAGTTCTTATGACAACAAGAAAAAGTTGCGACAAAGAGGTCAACCCACTTCTAAAAATAATTAAGCTTGCTTTTCGTTCGCTTACTTGGTCTCATTTCTAGGCCTTGTTTAGCAGTTAGAGGTATGGTGGCAACACAGTCTACACTTGACACAAAATAAGCCAAATTCATCTAAGTGTTTTGATAATTATTTGTATAGGACAAGAAGTAATTTAACTTAGCCAACGTAGAACATTGTAGGAGAATCCTTAGGGCGTTTATTGTGAAATAAAGAAAGTGGTATATATGGATGAATATAACATGAATACTTCGTGGTTGTAGACTATTGTTTATTCAATAGATAGCTCTAAAAAAATACAAAGATTTCATGCTAAGAAATAAATAAATCATAGAGAATGTTGATAACATGATATTAACAAGACCATGCCACTAAAAATAGAATATCCCACCATTTATACCAACAAGACAAGCAACATTATTTGTTTTGAAGACAGCGAAATAAATGATGCAGCCAGGAGATAAATAAAAATGCACTCGAAAAACCAGACGCATTTACAGTTCTCAAGAAAAGTAAACGGGATTTAATAAGCGGACGACTAAGCTATAAATTGGCTACAATAGCGCCACTATAATCTGACGTAGCTTGTAAATAAGCTAAGGGGAGACTAACAGATAATTCCTTATCATAAAATATATTCACCCTAATTTGTTTATTGTGAGGAGGGAAATGGAATTTGAATATTTCGACAGTAATATGATTAAACGTTATTTTCGAGCTGAGCGAGGTCAAAACTGCTATTCGATCTGTATAAAAATACATTTTTGGTAAAGCAAGACTATGTGGAATTCAAAGATAAATAGGAATCTACTCATCCGATTGTGAAAAAAATTTAACCGTTACCTCAAACTATATAGAGTGAATACATTTGATATAATAATGATCTACTAGTAATTTCAAAGAATAATTGTAAACAATAAATAATTCCTTATTGTTGCATCGTTCCTTAAGCACTACGTTTAGAATAATTTAAGATTATATACTTAATACAATAATTTCATGGTGGTTTTCAACGTACAAATCAGTCAACCTAATGCAAGCCGTAAAATTAAATCTTGAGAAAAACCTGTCCTGATAATAACACCAACTTTATCTTGAACCGCTAACGATAGTACAACCCTAACTCCTAATTAAACTTCAAACGAATATCGAAAATATATTGACACGGCTAGTTAAGAGGACTTACAAAATGAATCAGGTAGAAATGAAAAATTTGATACTTTAGTGATCTATGTTTATTTTTGTTACATCACGTATGTATCGATAACTCAATACTTTTAGACACAGAGATCACATAATATTATGTGTGGTCCTCAATCTTGATTTTGCGTCGACCAACCAAAGCTTGGCACAGCAACGTTCATTCAGAAGTTGACATGGAGAATTAGGCATAAGTATATCAAGTAACTAACATAAATTAGATAAAAAGATAGCACCAAATTGTGTTGAGAGTTGGACGGGCCATATAAAGTTGGGTTAAGAGAAAAAGATGCAGCACTAGAAGGTAGAACAAAATATGGGAGAGAAGTGATGCCGCAACGGTTGAACCGATAATTGGTCAAGAGGATTGCTTAAGCTTGTCAATTTGATAAGTTGCAACTCTGTGCTTACGATGGTGTCTAAACGAGGCCGAACCCTTAGTCCAATTCAGCCAGGATGGGAAAATTCATCGCCTTAGATTAAATAGGGTGAATTGACCTCAAATAGGAGATTTAGTGGAAATCTCAAAATCATACTTATAAGTGAAAAATAGTTATATATCATCAATGAATGACATTGTTCCAATATGGCCTAAGCTTTCCTTAGTCCGACGAAACAAACTGTCAATATTGGATAAAGTCCCAATATCAGCGCTTAAGAGTATGAGTCCCCGTAATAGTATTGCATGTCAGTTAGCCCTGACTCTCACTTGCCATTCTCCTCTAGAGTGGTCTGTAGTTCTGACCTCGTGCGGTAATCAATTTAACTAAGCGTTATGGAATAGGAATGTAGTATAGCATCTACAATAAAGATGATACAAACAATTACCATCAACTAGAGTATAATCAAGAGAATGCAGTAAGTCTATCCAAGTTTTCATTCCATACATTATAGCTTCTAAGTAATGTAAAGTTCTCAGTAAAGTTAACCATGTTTAAAACTGTAATATAAAACTTAATACTGCAAGTAGCTTTAGATTTATGAATTATACAGAAAGGCTGGAGAGATTTCAGCTCACTCTTGACGGCAGGATTAGCCAGCAGCGTGACATCAAAGGATGCCTTGACTTCGTGGTTAATACCCAAAGCAAGTTTAAGTTTCTATCTCGCCTAAGTTTTATCTATGCTTGATAAACTCAAAGTCATGATCTATCTGGCAATCAATAAAATAATGTAGGTTATAACTTAAGAAACCATAGACATTTAAATGAGAAGAGATTGTTAGCAAACACGACGCACAGTTAAATACTTGGATCTAGCTGTCGTTCCCACATCGGTGAGAAATTGACTCAATGAGAAAATGCAACAGCTCTTGTTTATCTTTAGTTTAAGAGGAATGAAATTAGAAATGCGTGTCTGAGAATGGAAATTTAAGTTTGCTAGATCGTCTACTCATCCTCAAATTAATGCAATTTAGAAACTAATGCTTATTAAGAAGTCTTTTAGGCCTAGACCTAGGCTGGAGTATCTAATGAAAGCGAAAGTATATGTTGATTGCAGTAATTGAATTTTAATGTAAAGCAAAGTTTGCTTCTTATTAGAATTAAGCGTTAGAGATATGTACATGTGTAGTTGCAACAATCTCAGCAAAATCTAAAGAAATTTAGGCTTGCAAGTGATGAGGGTAGTTTATGAAATGGACAACTTTCATTAGGAGAATAGTTAAACTTATTCATAATCCAACAGTATATTATGTCTTTGACACAACCATATGAACAAAATAGAATTTTATATGATAGATTAGATTCAGTCCTATTCTTTTATATATTAATTTAATATTCCTCTATTAAATAGTAATTGTCTAATAATATTTGATAATTTCAGTGATGTATATTTAGTTAAGAAGAGGCTCGGCTGATGCTATTCATGAAGGGCCAATTTATGTGAAGAGGGGTGTAAGTAGTCGAGTAATGTAAGGTAAAAAGTGATAAGCATCGACAAGTAAGGGGTAAAAAAATGATATTTAATGATGAATATCGGACAAGATTACATACGCATCACCGTTTCGAAGATAATCTACAAGATAGAGTCTCAAGCCGAATTAGAGCCATCACTTGAAACCCGAAGGAGGAAAGAATGTAAATTCCCTGAGATTCTGACTACACACGAGAATTAAGGTACATTTTTCGAAAACATGAAAGCTGAGAGTGAATAGATGCATATTCATACTTATGCCACCTAAATTTATTTTGTATTCTGAAGACCTAAAGGATTCATACCACAGACATTTGTCCATGATGTTGAAGAAGGTATTCCTAAGATCAAGACATTAAATGTACCAAAGTAGGCCCAATAATCGAATGCAAGATGTGCAACAATGAATATTTTTAATAATATGATAACTTAGGGGATTTATATAAGAGTAGGGTTTCAAGATGACAAGATATCTTGCCTTCCTTGAAATTCACTTATGCCCTGTGACTAAAAGGTACTCGTGGCAGTGTAGCCAAGTGGTTAGCGTGTCAAGCTACCGTCCTGCACTGTCATGGTTTGAATCCCGCTAAGGGTGTTGATAAGACCGATGCGAGGTCAAAACTGCAGTCCACCCTGAATGAGAACAACTTTATGGAAAGCACGGCTATGTGAAATTCCATGGAAAACGTCAGCTTAACTCATATCATTGTGGGAAAATTCTACTACCAGTAATTCATCACTTTAGAAGAAATAGAGTGACTACATCTAATTAGGGGATTTAGCCAATACACCAAGTAAAGCTCACGATTATGGTTCTGCAATTTTATATACGAAAAGATAAGGACCGTCTATAAAAACTTATTCTACGAAGGTGAAAAATTGATATTATCCTACGAGGGAGATATATGCAAGATTTAGTGAAGAGGCTTGATGGAATAAAGAAAACGCATATAAAGTATATCTCAAAAAATCAGTTAATTGCCTGAATTTAGGAGAGACGTCTTAGGCGGGTTAAGGAGGAAAATGTTGTCGCTTACAAAAATGGGCAATATAGCCATACAAATGTAATAGGTTGAATTCAGTTTTATTGCATTGAATATCAATTTACAATTCCTCTATTAAATAGTAATCATTGAATGACAATGCGGTTGCGTGTATATGTCTTCACACCCTCCGGCATTGCCAGCCTACCTGGAAATGATATTAAGCTAAACACCTTCGGGGCCCGAGAGCCCAATGTGTCCGTTCTCGAGGCAAGCCAAATCTGCCGTCTCCGACCGTCTATCGTTACTTGAGTCTGCAACCTGCGGAGCCTGCGTTTGCGGAAGTGTCGTATCCACTGCCGCAGTTGCACTAGCAGTCAAAAAACGAGACAGGCGAGCGCTAATTCGCCGAAGATGCCACCGACAAGACGAGTCAAATGCTCCTGTCGCTGGGCGGAGATAGTGTCGGTCCGTTGACTGGCCGTCATGCAGGCAGAGATCGCCTGCAGTTGGTCCTTCTGCTGCTGGGAGATTGGCGGAACGGCCGAAGATAAAAGTTGAATTGGTGGTGTTGGTGGTCCGACTGACAGGCAGACAGTCACGTTGCCGTTGCATAAAGTGCACTCTTGATCGATGCGCTTAGCTACAAGGGTTGCCAAACAGAAACAAAGGCGACCTTTTAACATTTCCGACAAGGAGAGATTAGCAACAATCCCTACAAAACAAATTTTACATGAGAGAAGCTTAGGTCAGCTTGAAATTCACTTGTGTTCAGTGACTGAATGAAACACGTAGTAGTCTGGCGTAGCGATAACATGTCGAAATTATACATCGCACTGCAACGTGCCGAGTTAGAGTTCTGCCGAGGTGCACATGAAATTAGATCCGTGGAGCTCGAAACATCAGTCTGGATTAGTCGAAGTAACAACACTCTTAGAAAAGCAAGATTCAGTAAAGTGCACTGACCCCCTGAGGCCTGATTATCTGATAATAGCTAAACTCGCTATGAGCCCGTCATTTGTTTAAGCGACAGAAGTCAAGGAAAAAACTTTTATTTCTCAGCACATTTCGTCCAACAGCCCTGGCGAATCAAAAGTTTAATAAGTCTTCCTTTTGGCAAAAGTATGTAACGCGATAAGTATTACTTCCAGGATAAAGCAAACCGTTCTCAATTTACTTTTTCTATTGGCAGTTGAATGTTTAGCCTAAAATACGCTGTACTAAATAAATTAATCAATAGAGTATCTAATGTAATTAAAAAAACAAGCTTGCATATTAACTCGAAATTAAAAGTCTTGCCTGAATCTCACCCAATGGGGCCCGGTTCTTGTGTCTTTGGGGCTAAATTGTTCCCTCAAGGCACGTATATCAGTTGTAAACTATCGCTTATGAGGCTGAGAAAACTTTAATGAGCTAGACAATTTGGGCCCAGTATGGATGTAGGCTGATGAAAAAATGTAAGCCACTTCGTTAAACTTGAGGCAGGTTCTCTATCAGTCAAGGAAGAAGCAAGTTGATATTTGTATACCTCGATAACAGTCATCCTTCTGCTGACTTTTAAAAAAACCGTAACTCACTGTTAATAACCAGATAATTTAACCAATAGCAAAAATATTCCTGAAGGATTTTTCCAAAGCCTTATTTATTCATAAAGTGTAATGAGGTTTAATCAAACGGATTAAATTTTAAAAACACTAATATAAGGTGTGAATAAGAAAGAATGGCTTGACAAAAGTAGAATTTCATTGATTGGGAAGTTCAGACATAGCTATACAATCGGTGAAAATTAAGAGAAATTGTTATATAGCATAAATAAATAGTAAGATAACTGGGAACAATTTAACCCATCATATATCCCAAGGACATATATAGAAATGCATATATCAATAAGATTGAGGGATTAAATTATATACTTATACATATATACACATATAAATTAATAAAATGTTAGCAAATCTAAAGGATTCAGATTTCCTGCAATACCAGCAAATATAATTTTAAAAAGAATAAAAACTGAGTTCTTAATAATTCCTTAATGTTTGAGCATCTTTTAATTGTTTTAAACAGGCAAGCCGAAGGAATTAGTAATTTCTTTGGTGAATTATCATAGAAAATTGTGTCTTGTTATGTGGATGAGACTTGAAGACTATTCACAAAGTCTATGCAAACACAAAAGCGCTTGTAAGGACCTTTAGGTCCAAAAGTCTCAGCTAGTTAAACACAGCCAATACAATACACTGAATGGACTGTTCCAAAACAGAACGTTTTGCGTAAGATTAAAGAGTTTATAGAAATTAACAAAACAGTAAGCGTCCTAAATAAAAGGAACGAGTTTATAAAACTAAGAAGCAGTTTCTTAGGGCTGTTAGATTGACTCAAGGAAAGAAGAGAGAGGGCCTGGATTGGCCTCGAGTCTGGCTATGAATATCACATTTTCCATATCGAGAGCATTACATAGACACAATTGATAATAGTAAAAGTCCAGATATGATTCAACATTAGACAATTTCCCACTAGTATTCGGTAATAGAACAGTTGCTACCGAACGCGATTCCGGTTCGAGAAGTGAACCACATGTAGTGTAACGTATAAATATCTCATCTAATCATAGAAGGCCCCATTAAGCTCGCGATATTAGGTATATAAAAAGCGAATGGGGTGTCAGCAGGTAACATCTGTTGGTTTATGATATTTTGGCTCTATTTCGTTATGAATAGAATCTTGATTTGATGACATTTCTCATAGAGCATAAGAAAGATAAGCACAGTTAAATTCGATTTGGAAGACAGTAAAACGAACACTTTTTCACAGAATTCAAAAGTGTCTATACCCAAAAATCCTTCTTCGGTTCTCGGTGGGACCACTAAATCCTTCCAAGCAAATTTCACTTTAAAATAAAGAATCAATCTACAACTTTCAACACTTTTAACAATCATCAAATCTCATCTCAACTCAACTCATCTCATCTCAACGCATCGAATCTCATTTCATCATACCTAATCCCATCTTATCTCATCTCATCTCATCTCATCTTATTTCATTTAATCTCATCTCATTTCATCTTATCTTCTCACATCACAAATCATTTCATCTCATCTCCACTCATTACATCTCATCTCATCTCATCTCAACTCAACTCATCTTATCTCATCACATCTCATCTCATCTAATCTCATCTCATCTCATATCATATTATCTAATCCCCTCTTATCATATCTCATCTCATCTCATTTCATCTCATCTTATCTCATCTCATCTCATCTCATCTCATCTCATCTC